GCACAGAGACTCCTTTACAAAGTGTCTGTGGCCATGAGGGTAGCTTCTACAGTTAAAGGCCTAGGATGTAGTGTAGCCTCTGACCAACAGCAGAGAGGTCAGCAGGCCATAGAGTACATGTGGCATCTACCCTAAGGATGGGTATGGTCTAGAAAGGGGAGAGTCTGGAATAATCATTCTGGGGAATCTGGACGAGGTCAGGTACACAGTGGCTCAGCCACTGAGAAAGGCCACATGTACTTTACCCAAAGTCCTAAAATCTTCTCAGCTACTTTCTTCTGATACACGTGTACCATTTATTACGATAAATTGAGCCATCAAGGGGAATAGCATCATAAGACACCATATATTGCCAGGCATTTTTTGATTGATGACAATTAAAGTCAACGTTTTTCCCTACTGCTTCACACAGTTATAAATATTTCTATATTTTCATGTTACCTTCTACATTTCACCCAGAAGTCCTTTTACCATTAAATAAATTGACTGCTCACTTCTTTTTGTTGCTGAAGAGTGATCCCTTGCATAGACAACACTATAGTTCGTTAATGCATCAATCTATTGAAAACCTTTATGGATACCTCTTTTGTTTAGAGTGATTATAAATGAAACTGTAAATATTTGAATGCAGAATGTATATAGGCATATGTTGTTCAGTTTAGTCAGGTAAACAGCAAGATCTTGATTGCTGGATTGTATGACTTTTCAAGAAACAACCAATAATGGATACATCAATATTTCCTTTTTCTTTCTTTTGGTGGAATGGAAGGAAATGCGCACACATACACACACACACACACACACACACACACACACACACATATATATATATATATTTTAAATCATAGTCTCATTTTCTAGTCCAAATTGACATGGAACTAACCATCTTCTCTTGCCTTCTGAATACTGGGATTACACACTTGTCAAGATAACTGGCTTTTATCTCGCTTATTGCATCTGTTCGTGGTATATCTTTTTTGATTTTTCAAGACAGGCTTTTTCTGTGTATCTTTTGGAACCTATCCTGGAACTCACTCTGTAAACCAGGCTGGCCTTGAATTCAAAGGAATCCACCTGTGTCTGCCTCCCGAGTTCTGGGATTATAGGCCAGACCTGCATACTCTTTTGCTTTTGTTTTTTATTTATTTTTAATCTATTAGATTTTTTAAAAATACCAATCCAAGTTCCCACTCCCTCCCCTCCTCCCATTCTGTCCACACACCCTTCCACCCCACCCCCATCCAATCCTAAGAGAGGATAAGGCACATTGCTTTGTGGAAGGTCCAGGGCCCTCCCTACTGTATCTAGGCTGAGCAAGGTATCCATCCAAAGAGAATAGGTTCCCAAAAAGCCAGTACAAGCAGTAAAGATAAATCCTGGTGCCACACCAAGTGTCCCCTCAGTCTGCCCAGCCATACAACTGTCAGCCACATTCAGAGGGATTAGTTTGGTCCAATGCTGGTTCCTTCCCAGCCCAGCTGGAGTTGGTGAGCTCCCATTAGCTCAGGTAAACTGTTTCAGTGGGTGAACCCATCATGGTCTTGACCTTTTTGCTCATATTCTCATTCTTCCCACTCTTCAGCAGGACTTTGGGAGCTCAGTCCAGTGTTCCAGCGTGGTTGTCTGCCTCTGTTTCCATCAGTTGCTGGACGAAGGTTCTATGGTGATATTTAAGATATTCATCAGTCTGATTACAGGGCAAATCAATCTTAGGCCACCTCTCCTCTGTTGCTTAGGGTCTTAGCTGGAGTCAGCCTTGTGGATTCCTGGGAAATTCTCTAGAGCCAGGTTTCTTAACTTGTTCATTACTAGTTTCTATATATGACACAGTTTCCAAGATTTGTAATGCCTCATAAATATACCGGCTATCAGTATATAAATTGAAATCCTTATTATCAAAATTCTTAAATATCAGAACTACAGCTCGCAGCTCAACTATTTGAGCTGAAGCTGCTTCTGTCTGTATCACGTGTCCTTTTCCATTGACTACATAAGCAGCTTTTCCATTAGATGAGCCATCAGTGAAAATCAACAAAGTATCCTTTAAGGGATTCTTTGCTACTATTTTAGGAAAAATGAATGAATGCTGTTGAGTAAAATTCTTAAGATCAGTTTTTGACACTGAATAAAGTGCAAAGGGATTCAAAAATACATCTGAAACCTAAGCATGTATGCAGCATCTTTTTCTTTTTTTTTCCAAGACAGCATTTGTCTGTAGCTTTAGGACCTGTTCCACTAGCTTTTATAGACCATGCTAGCCTCGAACTCACAGATATTTGCCTGTCTCTGCCTCCTAGGCACTGGGAATAAAGGCATGTACCATCACCACCTGGCTGCATGTATCTTTTCCATGTAGAACTAGCTATTATTATTATTATTATTATTATTATGTCTATGTATACACTGTGTATTTGCTGCAACATATACTTCATAGGATCATGTGTTTGAATATTTGTTCTCCAGCTGATGGTGCTATTATGGACAATTTTGGAACCTTTATTACTTGGTGCCTTGCAGAAGGAAGAGGATCACTGAATCAAGATTTGGGGGCTTGATAACCTACCCACCTCCTGCCCACTCTCTTTGAAGAACCACACTTAATGCCATGTTTCTGTATATGGACAATAAGCCAAAGCAAACAAACAAAACCCCTTTCTCCCTAAGGCTGTTTCTTGTCAGGTATTTGGTCACAACAATGAAAAAGGAACTAATACAGAAAACCGGTACCAATAAGTGGGTCACAGAGCTATAATAGACATGAGCAACCTTAACTTTTATTTGCTATGTAATTATATTCAAAATTTTATATCAGTAGAAAAGATATGACAAATGCTATTTTGATAAAAAGGTTTCACATTTTAAAAACATCTATAAGACCCAAAGCATTAGGCCAACACAATTATTGTGGTTTTTGTAAAAGAGCAATTTTATGTGGTGGGGAAAGAAGTTAATGAAATCTCATTTGAAAACAAAACATACTTGAGTTAATCAACTCTGAAAAAAAAACAGAACTCAAAATGTTCCACATATGGAGTAAATAATATAAATGTTTTAATATGTATATTTGATTTTTCATAATTGGAGTTCTTCATATTTAGGTAAATGAAATAACCCAAACTCAAGGTTATTCTTTTTTCTTTTAATAAACAATTTCTATAACATGAAAAGAAATTTATTACAAACTTTCTTTTGGTAGACATGCACTCCTAAATTAAAATAATGATATATCTGGAAGATGTAAGATAATGTAAACTTTCTATGCAATTTCTAGCCATGTGATTAAAAAGCAATTTTAATCGCTGTTTTGTTTTGTTTTGTTTTGTTTTTTGGTCTGCATTAAATGTTCTGCTATCCTGAGGTACATTCCTTTGTATCTGGAAGAGAGCCTCCAGTAAAGTCTGTCCCTGTCGAAGGCCAGTTATCATCTTTAACTTCCTCATAGGACTGTTATCACGCCCCTTTCACATGTCAGTATCCTAGCAGAAAGACAAGCATATTTAGCAGAGGACAAATTCATGGGTCCTGTAAGGAAAGAAAATCAAAATAGCAATCTTCTTTGATGTGGAAATAGCAAATGCAACAGAGAAAAAATAGTCAGAAGTCCAAATAATTTATAAAAACAGAATCCAGATTTGTATTCTACACCAGTGCGTCCTTGTTTGAAAACCTCTGCTCTTGGAGTAAAGCCATGTCAACACAATTAGAAGTCATCAAGACTGGACTACTGCCTGAAGGGCAGCAGCTATATGATAAAGATGAAACATAAAGATGGCTCATCACAACCTCTTTGAAGCTTAAATCCTACTATCTTCTTTCGTTTGTGGTCTATACTATGATGACCAAAAAAAACCGCAAGATCCTCAAAATTTAGAATGTTGTATTATGTGGCAATCTAAAACATTCAAAACAATGAAAGTTTAACTTATTTGAAATGCATAGAAGTATTTCCAAAGGCTTAATAAAGTCCAGTTATGTGGTGTGTGATGCAAATAGAGTGGAATCTAACATTATGCCTCATTACAATATTTAAAAAAAAATTTTTTTTTGAGATAAGGTTTCTCTGCATCAGCCCTAGCCATGCTGGAACTAGCTATGTAAACCAGGCTGGCCTCGCAAGTGCTGGGATTAAAGGCATGAGCCACCACCACCCAGTTACAATATTTTTAGATTAAAAGTTCCCTACAGAAACACTATGTGTAAACACGGGTAAGATAATCCCAGGTTTGTTTTGTGGAACCTTTTGAAACGTCTTCAGGGTGAAGGTTTCCTTCTAGTATCTTCTGTAGAGCTGCATTTGTAGACAGATAATATTTATGTTTGGCTTTGTCACAGGTGCTTTTCTTCCTCTGTCTATTGTGATTGATAGTTTTGTGGTGTATGGTAGTAGTCTGGGCTGGCATCTATGTCTCTTAGAGTTTGTAGAACATTCATCCAGGCCCTTCTGGCATTTCAAGTCAGGTATTGTTCTAATAGATCTGATTTTATATGGTACTTGGTCTTTTCTCCTTACAGCTTTTAATATTCTTTCTTGTTCTGTATTCTGTACATTTAGTTTTTTTATTCTCATGTATCATGGAGAATTTCTTTTATGGTCACATTGTAACCACTCTCAGAAAGGAGAGAATGAGCATGTGACTAGAATATAAAGCCTCAATACTTTTTCCCAGTAACCCACTTCCCTCAATAAACTCAGCTTCCTAAAGTTCCACAACTTTCCCAAATTACACCACCAGCTCTGGGACCCATTGCTCAAACATGTGAGCTTATAAGGGGCATTCAATTCATGTTAGGGAAGAGGCTAATATAAGTACCCAGCCTTCTTTGCTGGTGGAATACATATGATATAAAATCTTTGTAGCCTCATATTCAGGGAATTTTCTAGAAGATGCCAATGAGAAGCAGGTAAAATAATAGTAGCCATTTTTGGTTACTCCTAGTAAGTTCCCTACTTACTTCTGTATGGCACTGGATATATAACGTTTGTGTCTGTCTTTCTTCAGGAGGTTGTGCGGTTCCTTGACACCAAGCATCCAGACCACTATCAAGTCTACAATCTCTGCAGTATGTATACGGCTCACTTTTCTGTTTCTGTGGATAGAGAACAGATTAGTTTTGCTGACTCCTCTCCTACGTTTTATTTATTTGTAAGTATTTAGTGGCAGAGAGTCAGAGCAAAACTTCCCATCTGGTATTGGCTTCATGTTGTAGGAACATTAGCTCACCAAGCACAAAGCACCCTGGGAGGGAGGCAGAGGCAAGCCTAGAAGGGTGGAACAGGCAGAGCCAAGATGAACCATGTTAGAGGCTATCTGTTCTTAAGTTCAGAAAATCTTTAGTTCCTTCTAGGTTATGTTAAAGGTGTAAACATTAGCAAGTCTGCACTCTAACCTACATGGAATAGTTTGTTATAAAGAGAGAGCCCTGGGTAAGACAAAAACAAAAAGGCAACCCTTTGGAAATATTATACCTCAGTTTACCACCCTATCCCTGGTGATTTGTTCAATGCCTGTAAATTAATGACCATTTTCAGGAGCCAACATCTCCACCAGCTATGTTTGTCTCTGTTCTGTGGTTTCTAACACCCACCACGATGTGCTGAGGAGGCACTAGAAAGCTAAAGTTGAAGCCGCCTTTACAACTTGAGTTTAGTGTCTGAGATGAAATATCACCAAACTTATTTTTTTTTGCAACTCTGAAAAGATTGTTTTTAGAACAAACAGAAGATGACTCTTGAAGATAGATAAGAAATTTTCTATTTGAGACTTTAAATCCATTTATAATTTTATTGTTTGCTATGTGACCACGCATAAATGACATGTATTATTTATTTTAGGCGAGAGAGCTTATGACCCTAAGCACTTCCACTACAGGGTCCGCAGAATCATGATTGATGATCACAATGTCCCCTTGCTTGAGTAAGTTTTACTCCATGTTGACTATCAGAAAAGGGCTAAACATCTTGGGTTCAGTGTTTTCAAAAAATGATTGTTTTGGCAAATTTTCTTTTTATTGAGAATAAGAAAAAAAAGTTTCCGCCTCCTCCCAGCCTCCCATTTCCCTCCCCCTCCCCCCACTCTTCTCCCCCTCCCCCCACTCCTCTCCCCCTCCCTC